GGGGGGTGGAGATTGCAGCGGGATCTTGTAACTGTGTATCGCCATCTGGAGAGTCCAGGGATTGGTCACGCGCTGCCTATAAACTGGAATACACAGGCGCAATCAGTGCGACAGATGTGTGGGTTCGGCGGTTCCACATCAGTTGAGGGTCGAAAATATTCCATGAACGCGGCCACCTCCTTTGCCCGTCCCATCGAACCTAAAAATTCGTGGTACCAGGGTCGGGGGAGGAACCGAAGGATCCGATCGGGCGCGAGATTTGACTCCAGACTCTGCTGGCTCCGGTCTCAAACACCGCTCGATCGGGTAGCGCTTGGTCCAGCAGAAAGGGTTAAGCATAAAATTGCCTTACCCTAGGCTTAGGCCTCTATCCCACAGGGGACCAAGGTCCACCCATCAACACTGTCTCTGCGTTCCCCCCTATGTCCAGCACTCGGCCAGACCAGGAGAGTCCTGCAGTTGGTATTGCTTTGGATCCCGTCGTCTGGATCCCGGAAGAGACAGTGCTATCGAGAGTGACTGTTTCAGGATTGGGGGGGTTGAACATCGGGTCACAAGAATCGATGTTCCCCCCTCACCCCGTGGCGTGGCTCACAAAGTCATTACGAAGAACAGACTCTGAGGGGCCGCCCGCGGTTGCACCCACGGTGATGGCCGGGCAGGTCCCCTCTGGAAGTGTCTGCGGGTCCTCGAGGAGGAGTGACCCGTAGCGGGGGCAGGACTCAGGAAAACAAAATTAATCCCTTGTCCCTGGGTCCAACAGAATATGCAAATATAGCCTGCTGGTGTGCTTCTTCCAGCTTGCCAAAACAAGAGGCAACTGCAGTGGAGGCAACCTGCTCCCTCTACATTTGTACTGTACATGCGACTGCTACAAGCTAGAGCAACGCTGTCAGTCTCAGTAATTTGCACGCGGCCTGGGAAAGCATCCCAGGCCTCGGAACCCCAGTTGAAACAAAACAAAAAAAACACTAGGCAAAACCCCGAGCCCCGCACACAGTCGAACTACAAATAGCATTGCTATGTGGATTGCAAGCTGGTAATTCCCAGTGGCAACTACCGTATGATCGCCTCGATCTTTGGTGACCAAAAAAAAACAAAGGTGAAGAGCGTGTTACCCTTCTTGCTATCCATTTCTAACAACACATTGGTAAAAAATGACATGCATGAGACGGACGAATTACAGTTAAAAGGCTGACACAAAGGGATCAACAAATCGTGGCCAAATGCGTAACCAGAGTTTTTTTCTTTCTTGTAAGCATTGCACACATTGCACACAAAGACGACACAGGGGTAAAAAAATAAGAAAGACTTATCCTACTAGCCACAGCACCGGCTGCCACGTAGGTGACAGCTAGTCAGACCAAAAACTCGGACAGGACAAAATCGGATGACTGATCGCACCGTTTTTATCGCACCTAACTCAGTGCGGAGAGAAACAAGACTGACTTGGAAGTTAATATGGCGTCGCCTCATTACCTCGGTCACTTGGTTCATGACGTAAGGGGAAAATCTTGAGGTCATGAGGCTTCCCCTGACTTAGATTTCTCTCTCCGTCATTGGCTGAATCGCAGTTTAATGCCTACAGCTCAAAATACATGTAGTCATTTTGACTGACCGGAGTCTATGGTGGGTAATTGAACGTAGTGAATACTTGTCTCAGATACAAATGTGGATACATACAGATGTAACATCAGAGTTCTCCCAGACCATTATAGAGTAGGGGATCCCAACTGTTTAATTTTGGATAAAAAGTAGAACCAATTTATCATAACAATGAACACAATATTAGTCATTACCCACTCCCACCCCCGGTGATATGCTATATTGTTATGCAAATTGGCCAATATTGTATGCAATTTTTCTGGGGAGAACACTGCATAGAGGTACTAATAAAACTTTAAGTTAAAACTGACCTTGACTTTCAAGATTTGGGGATGAGTAGAGTTCAGCTTGACATGAAGCTCAAATCCATTCCAATCCGTGACCTTCAATGCTTCATCTTCATGGGTAAATGTGTGTTCAAAATGAACATTAACTGCAGCTACCTTGAAAACAAACAGATGCTAAGATAAGCAATTACTCATAAGATCCTAGTTTTGGCTTTTTTTAATTTTTTTTTTAATTTAATTTAATTTTATTTATTTTTTGGATCTATTATTTATTTGTTTATAGTTTTTTAAAGTTTTTGTAATTGCGAATGCCAAACAAGTATCTGACCCAATGCCTATATAAATCCCGTTCAAATCTTGTATAAGCTACAGCCAATCACAGCGTACTCATTGGAGAAAATAATTAACAAACAATTCCCATTTACAAGGAAAAAGATCGAGTCTAAATGTGCGGTTGACTGCCGATCGCGCAGCCCTGTCCAGAAGGAATTATTTTTTGAGGGGATGGTGGAGGTGGCTGCTACGATTGACACAAAATACAACTACAAATTTAAAATTTCTTCGGCATAAAGAATTTATTTGATTGCAACTATTGCGTACTTGATTTGAGTAACATTTAAATTGATTTTTGACAAAAAACAATCACATTTTCACATATTAAGATTGCAAATATTTGCAATGAATGTGATATATTTGAAAAAACAAATTCTAATAAAAAAGAAAATTATCGTAGCTAAGCCAAACTATTTGATTATTAGTGTTGAGCATTAAATTGCATGTGCAAATGAACATTAAAAGTAACACAAAATGTTAGGAAATGCTTGGAAAGGTATTAAGTTACTACATACTTGTAACTGTATAATTCTTCTTGTATGTACTTTGCACAAATATTCTGTATTTTGTCTGTTTTGTACATGTACATATTGAGTCAAAGGCATTTACTTATAAGATATACACGCTGGATTCACGTCTCTGATCAGATTTCAACTTTTGTTCAGAACAGTATTTTACAATCAACTACAATTACTGATGATCAACACTATGTACATGTAACTTTGGTTCATAGTTTAATGGTATGTACTTTAGCTTTTGGATGGAATATAGTTTCCACCTCAAGGAAATCCCAACTACACCTTATACACATCTAGAAAATATAATAGCTATATGTACATGTATATTGTGGAGAAAAATATAATACTTACATCAACTTGAAATGTTGCAGCAAATGGCTGATCACACATGTGCAATGTAGCTGTTGTTTGGACAGTTGTGTTCTGTACATATGATGTACAAATACAATGATATTCTGTTGACGTACATTGACAATCGCTTTTAATACAAGAACCTAAAATAGAACAAAAATTATAATATCAAATAAATAAATTATGTAAATGATATCCTGCATCCAAATATATATTGGCAGAAAAAGATTTTATCAATTCATAACATTTTGCACATTCTATGTTCCATGAAACTAGATTTCCATGTGGTGATTAGATTTATGCAATGTGTTTTTTCATTACTACATGTATGCCAGGAATGAATAAAAGAATAAAAGGTTATTAATCACCAGCAAGAAAGAGCACCCATAATGCAATGCGGCAAGCACCCACAAGGCTCGGCACGACTGCATCATTTACTAAATTTACTTTCGTCTACAGTCAAGAGGTATTTGATTATTTCTATGTGTAAATGTCAGTCAGACTGACATTTACACATAGAAATAATGTAATAGATGTGCACTAAAAAGAAGCTGAGATAATTGCTAATTTGCATAACAATTCACTCAGTAAGAAGTTTGCTAATGCTCATAATTAAAATGGCTGTAACAGTTCCAAATTTAAATGTACTATCGTTTTGTTAAAAGTTAAATATAGTGCATAATATGGAGATCCCGTCATTTCTTTTTTTCACCATGTTTCTTTTTTATTATTTATGTACAGCCTTGCTAAATCTTGCTAAGCATTCAAAAGAGAGAATGTTTGCACCTGTTATCTATATTTTAAAATCGTTTTTTGAGTATGTTCCACTATTCACAATTCTACAAAATTTTAACAGTCTATAGCCAAGACTGTTGGGATAATAAAAAGCAAAAAAAAAAAAATTCACTCCCAAGTGCCAACGAACCTGCATCTCTACCTAAAGAAAACATTCTTAATCTCAGCAGATTTTAAATTCACTGGTTAAATCAATACATTTCATTTTAAACATTACATGTAAATATTCACTAGGTTTTAATTTAGTGTATTTAGATATCAAATAAAATAAAACATAACCACAGTCCCTCCCTGTGACATAACCCAGCAAATAATCAAGCCCTATATACAGTATACACAATATTTGCTGGACAATGTATTGAATGGGGGGGGGGCAAGGGGGGTAGCTGGTACAGTTTTACGGGAAATAAAAAGGGCTTTTTACAATTTACAAGAAAAAAAAAGAATTTTTTACAGTTTACGGTGAAAATTGAATTTTGCAGTGAATTGTGTCATCTAGTCGTTTTACAGTTTCCCTGGATTATTCTTTACGACTTTTTTTATTTGGATGTAAATTCTTGTACGTACTGAGAAAAATGACACAACAAATAACCCTTGCCCCCCCCCCCTTGAATGCAAGTAAACCACTGACTCAACGGGTGACAATCCCAATAATTTGATCTGTACATACCGTAAATGGTGTGTAGTGATGGAAAAATGCGTAAAATATTAATAGTGACAAAATGTAATACATCAGAAATGTACAGAAAATATAGTTATCGTAATCCGTCATATCGTGAGCAGCTATTTTGATCCACCTGGACATCCCAGTATCCGAGTTACCTTGGGCATGCGCATTCGCATTTTTCTGAGTTGGAATGCTTATGCGAGAGCGAGATTGTAACGGGATCTTGGTATCATGTCACCGTAGTTGCAAACCCCAAGTAATGTACCTCTGATAGTACTAATCAAATTATTAGGAATTCAGCCCTCAAAGTGACTGTCACTGACTGTGGTGTAAAATATTGATACTAGTTCAGTGGAATATGTGGGGAATAAAAAAGGGAGTGTAAAATATTTGCAGTATTATGAATACCAATCAGTACGAAATTTACTCTCGTTTAAAGTTAGTAAAATGATAAAATACCTGGGTAATATATGGAAATAACAAAAAAACACCATGCAAGCCAATAACACTGCTGTGAACGAGGATACATTGTCTGTGTGTAACTCTGGTGTAACTTGAACTGCCGCCAGTGTTACCGAAGAATATATAACTACTCTACATATCACGGGGAATATTAGATACACGCCGGGTTTCAGTGGTTCATCGCTGTCCTACGTGTACTGCAGTATCATCTACATATGTGAAAACAACACTACACCAGAGAAGATTCCCTTTGTTGATCAATTCACCACTTTTACTATGTTGGCGGACTTTCTCTTTCATGACTGTAAAACCCCCCAAGCCACTAATAATTATTCACAACAGTATATGTGTTATTTAATTCCCAGCAGAGAAAACTATATAAAAATCAGTACTGTAAACAGTTTTTTGTCTTTTCAAGTTAGACTGAAATGTATGATTTGCGGAAATGTTAAATGTGAAATTGCTCAACTGGTTTAGAGTTTAGGAATAAAATGCAAGCAGATAAGGAGTTGTGGCACCTCGATATGACGTCACACTCATCAGTTTGGGAAAGTCCTTTTTTGTTTGTTTACATTAGTGAACCAGGTCAGACAATTATTTTTTAGCAGGTTTTATAGAATGATTGTCAATGACGTGACGTGAACATGTTAAATGCATTAGTAGTCATTGACTGTTAATTCTGTGAATAATGTGCGTTTACTATTTGTGTCTAGGATGAATAGTTGTTGGATTAGTAGACTCAGATTCGTAAAACGTAATCAAGATATTATAGGTCACGCCAGTCACAGTCTCAAATCTTTTGAAACGCTGCATGATTATGGCCGACTCTCCCGAATCGCATT